TCAGAACTTACAATTTATAACAACAAACTTTCTTAATACGTATAATACTTCTCAAAGGGCGGGTAAGGAACATGAGATAGACAAAAAGGAAGGAGAGGAATTGGGGCACTGCGGATCTGGACATGGGCAACCAGAGTGGGGCCAACAGGTCGCTGGCGGTACCCAGGGAGGCGCCCAGGAGAAAGGGTTCATTTTTGGGACCTCTGGTGCAAGGATGAGGTCAGTTTTACTCATGGAAGGAAATTCTCAAGGTGTCCTTACAAGGAGCATTGGAACCGCCCACAGCATCTCCTGGGTTCTTAAGTCCACCTTGGGCTCTACCATGAGGCAACCACAGACTTCTCATAGCCGGTTGCTCTGAACAAGTGGGAAGGCCGCAGCTGCCCAACCAACCGGGCATGAACCAACAGTGACAGGTAAAGAGAGAGGGGCACGGAGAAGGGTCTCCTTCCCATCTGTCCTGGTGGGATTCATGTTTCTCAGAGGGTAGACGGAGAACAGAACTTGACGTTTACATTCCTTTCACATCAAATGGTTATTCCACAGAAAGCGCAGCAACACATGAACTCCTCCAAAGAAAACTAAGACAAAATGAGCCAGTGCATCTCTGCCTTCCTGTTGAAGAGCCTGAGAGAAAGAGAGGAAGAGAGGTTTTTTTTTTAAAAGGCAATAGAAATCCAAAGTTAGAAATTCAATATTAATATCCATTCAATCGACGCCACAAACAAGCTTTTGGGTCTGCTGAATGAACTGTATGAGCTGAAGGAGAAAATCTTGGTCTGTTCCATAATGCACATATCTTCCACGCTGCCTTGGGGAGTTTTCCTCCAGACGTGTTTTCCTGTCTTAACCATCAGCAAATGAGGGCCCTCTGGTTCACTCTTTCCAGGGCTGATAACCTCTTCCTCTGGCTTCCCAGAGCACTTTCGTAGTCTTCTCCAAGAAGCACAGAGGTTTGCAGAGGACGTGGATGGATGAAGAGGGGAGTGAATATGAGCAAAGCTGGAGGTGACAATAGAGCACAGCTGGTTTGTGGAGCTGTAAGTAAACGCGACTGTTGACTTACCTCAGGAGAAGGGGGGGTCAGACACAGATGGCTGTCCCTGTCCCTGCCCCTCCTCCTGCAGTCTAATCTCATCACAGCTACCTCAGTTGATTGTTGAAATGTGGCTGCCCTGCTCAGCGCTCTCCAATGGCTTAGCCTCTCTCGGAAGAAAAATCTTTAAATGATCTACCACCAACCCATCTCTCAGACCATATCTTTTCACTGCTTTCTCTTTTACTCAGCTTCAGCCATACTGGCCTCCTCGCACCTCTTCACCCATGCCTGCCTCCAGCTGCTCTCCCCACCCCCCCATGTCCGTGGCTCCCTCCCACACTGCCAAGGCTTGCTCAGAAGTCATCTTCTCAGGGAGCCTTTCCCTTAAAGCTTCTACTTAAAATTGTAAATCCTCCAACACTCCTCACCCCTTTCCTTGGCTCATCTTTCTCCAAAATATTTATCACTGTCTGATAAATATATACTATATACTTTATTTCTTCATTTGTTATTTGTCTCCCTTTTAGAATATAAACTCCATGAGATCAGGGAGTTTTGTCTCTCAGATCACAGTCACACCTCCAGTACTGAAACAGAGCCTGACACACAGTAGGCACTCAATAAATATTAGCTGAATAAATGAAGGCATGATAAATCAGTAGCAGCAGGTTTTGGAATTCAGACTTTGTCCTGTGAGTTACTGGGAATCACTAATGGATTTTTTTGCCTTTTAAAATTTATATCAGTTAGGAAAATTAAATGACTTTCCTGCCAACAAGGCAGACAAGAAAATATATACAGCACTGAGTCAGAGGCTCATATATTTAAATTCCAGTTTTGTCACTTAGTTGCTGAGTGACCTTAGGTAGGTTTATCGAATCCTCTTTGAACCTCAACTGTTTTTCCTGAAATGCTTATACCACTAACCGATAGGGTTACTGGGAGAATTACATGAGTGTTTTCAAACAGTGCCTGGAAGAGATTGTTCAATAAATGTTCGTTTCCTTCCCCTCTTTCTAACAAACGAAGAAATTCCCTGTGTGCTACAGTGTCAGTCAAGCTCCCAGAGAAAACAGATAGCACACTCAAATCAGGATAATTCGGGAGGGTTAAATAAAGAGACCATCTGCCAAAGGGGAAGAAAACACAGCGGGTGCTGCTGGGAACTGCAGAGTTATTGCCACTCCTAGGCTTATAGGAACAGGGAGGGGGCAGCTTCTAGAACTGAGAAGAAAACAGCCCTTCCTGTACAAAAAAATTTCAAAGACACATTTAAGATCCTAAAAGTGATAGGAAGACTATTTTTAAAACGCATTTTATGCCTAGGAAAATTACATGCCCCGGATTGAACAAAAGACCAGATCCTTGAATCAAAACCCTATAAAACTAAATAGCAAAATAGAAGTTGTTTTGAGCATCAAGGCCTATTTGAAAACACAGACTGCTTGCTTAAGTGGAAAGAACAAGAAAGCAAGATGTGTAACAGCTCAAGGGCAATCAATTCTGCAGACAGAAAAATAACTTGGTGAGCTCCTTACCAGGGAGTTCTAAGAGCAAGAATAAACGTTTCTTTAAATATTTCAAAGGCAGGAAGGGATCTGGAGAATCAATGTGACCACTTGATTAAGAAGAGTACAAAAGGTGAATAAATGATGACTCTTTATGAAGAAATGTACCATGCCAGATTTGAAATCCTGTTAAAGTTGCTTGATGTAAGCCTTGAAGCAGCAGAGTAAAACCTTCAACATTTAAGAGCCAAACTTAGGAGAAATTTTTTAAATTATTTTTAAAATGTGCTGTGGTCTATTTAAAAGTGTTCTAAAATGCAATTTTGTGGTACAGGACAAGGTATCTTTAAAAGTCTACGTCAAAGCCAGGTTGATAAAGTGCTGCAAGAAAAGACAGGGCAGGCATAAGGATGGACACATAGATCAATGCGATAGTATTGAGAGTCCAGAACTAAATCCTTTCATTTACAGTCAATTGATTTTTCCACCAGGTTGCCCAGACCATTCAACAGGGAAAGAAAAGTCTTTTCAACAACTGGATACCCACATGCAAAAGATTGAAAATGGGCTTTTAACTCTCACCATATACAAAAGTTAATTCCAAATGGATCAAAGACCTAAATTTAAGAGCTAAAACTACAAATCTCTTAGAAGAAAACATAGGTATAAATCTTCATGACTTTAAACTAGGCAATAGTTTCTTAGATATGACACCAAAAGCATTAGCAACAACAACAAAAATAGATAAATTTAACTTCACCAAAATTAAAACCTTTTGTGCTTCAAGGACTACCACCTAGAAAGTGAAAAGACAACCTACAGAGTGGGAGAAAATATTTGCAAATAATATACAGTAATACCTTGGTTTGCGAGCATAATTCGTTCCGGAAACAAACTACTTGTATTGCAAGACATCGCTCGTTTACTACGTTAAAATGTATTGGAAATGTTTGCTCGTCTTGCAGAACACTTGCAAACAAAGTTACTCACAATCCAAGGTTTCACTGTATATGATAAGGAACTTACATCTAGAATATATAAATAACTCCTAAACTCAACAATAAGAGACAAATAACCCAATTTTTTAAATGGATCTGAATAAACATTTCTCCAAAGAGATATGGGAGTGACCAATAAGCACATGAAAAGACGCGCACCATTAGCCAACAGGGAAATACAAATCAACACCACAAGGAGACACCACTTCAAACGCAGGAGGCTGGCTATAATAAAAAAGACAGTTAATAACAAATGTTGACAAGGATATGGAGAAACCGGAGCCCTTGTTTGTACACTGCTGGTGGCCACAATATAAGGTGGTGCAGCCACTTCGGAAAACAGCCTGGATGTTCCCCAGAAAGTTAAATGCCGAGTTCTCATATGATACAGCAATTCTATGCCTAGGAAAGTACCAAGGAACTGAAAGCATATGTCTACACAAAAACATGTGCACAAGTGTTCACAGCATCATTATTCATAATAGCCAAAGGGTGGAAACAACCCAAATGCCCATGAATGGAGAAATAAATAAAATGTGATCTGTACATTCAATGGAACATTATTCAGCAAAAAAAGGGAAGCATTGACAAGTGCTGCAACATGGATGAAACCTGAAAAAACATTATGCTACGTGAAAGAAGCCAGACACCAAAGGCCACATGTTGTATTATCCTACTTATATGAAATATCAGAATAAACAAATCCATAGAGACAGAAATTAGATTGGTGGGGTTGGGAAGAAATGGGAAATGACTTCTATTGGGTTCAGGGTTTCTTTCTGGGATGATGAAAATGTTCTAAAATTGATTCTGACGCTGGTTGTGCAACTCTGAATATACTAAAAACCATTAATTGTACACTTTAAATAGGTGAATTGTATGGTACATAAATTTTATTTCTCAATACAGTTTGTTTTTGAAGAAAAGAAAAAAGCTGGGGCCATTTAGAGTCGATTTATTCAGCAGGAAAGGTAAATTCCAGACTTATCAGTAAATCAGAACTTCAAAGGTAAAGGAAAGAAAGAAAAGGAGGCAAAATGGGAAAGGAGGTTACATAAAGCAGTGACCTCTTGATTGGGTTGAGGCAAACAGAAAATAGGAGGCTGTGATTTGTCCCCCTCTGGTCTTTTCAGAAAAAAAGACATATTACAAGGACCCATGAGTCCTCAGAGAATTAGCTGTTCAAGAAGCAGGAAAGTTGACCTAAAGACTGTCTGAGAATTCATAAAATACAGTCATCGGTGAAAACTTTCCTACAGAAAAAACTGAAGTATAGAAAAAAGATGACAAATAGCATGAGTATGTTTTAAGAAATGTTACATCATAAAGAAATGTTCAACTCTAAATACTGAAAAGGGCAAAGACAAAAACATTAACTTTTGGTTTAGGTAACATTTATTGATCATTTTCTGTGGGTCAGGCTCTGTTCTAAGTGATTTACATAGATTCTTTCATTGAATTTTCACAACAGGTAGGTACTGTTGTTATTTCTGTTGTAGATGAGACCCAGGGAAGTTAAGTAACGTGCCCAAGGCTGCACAGTAAATAGTGGTGAGCCAGGCTTTGGACCCAGTGTTGGGACTCTAAAACCAACACATTTAACCCCTTACACCTTAGCTGAACATTCAGTGAGCCATGAGTCCATGTATAAGTGTCTCTTCTATGCATGTTTAGCTTCTGTTGTATTAGTATTTGAACATGGCTGTCCATTGAGGCCAGAGGGTAGGGCTTTCAGGTGAGGTCTTCTCTGAAAAAGGCATTCCCACCTGGCTCTGGGCCTCAGGTTCTCTGGTCCAGGTATCAAAGAGAGCAGATGGCTAGAGGTGGCCCCTGGCATGAAAGGAGGTCAAACAGTAGACAGTACTGGAGTGGGGAGTGTGTACAGGAGCCAGTGGACATGGGTTCAAGTCCTAAACCTGCAGTTTACCAGGTGTGTGTCCTAGGAGAAGTTACTTGACTTCTCTAAGTCGTCAATTTCCTCATTCGAAAAGTGAGAATAGTTCTATCCCAGCTTCACTGGTGGTTGGAAGAATTAAACAAAACAATGTAAGCGAAGCCCTCCGCAGGGCTCCTGGCAAGCAGCAAGCCTTCGGTAAGTGCTACTATTACATAGCTTTTGTTTATCCTCCAAATGGAGTGAGGCTGGGAGCAAGGTCATTACTGACCTTATGAGCCCAGGGAGAAGGCAACACTATAATCGCAATGCTTATCTTGAGCTTCAATGTCTCTTCTGAACTCCAGACTGGTTTTTATAACTCCTACACAACTTCACAACTTCTCAGTCTGTACATCTAACAGTAACTTCAGACTTACGTGTCACAAACAGAACTCTGTCTTTTCTGCAGAGTCTGCTCTTCCCAGTTTTCTCGGTCTCAGTAAACGGCACTACTATCCATTCAGATGCTTGGGCCAAAACCACTGAAGTTAACACGTTCTTTTTCTCTCACTCCTCACATCCAGCCCATCAGCCAATTTTGCTGGCTCATTCTGAGTCTGACCGTTTCTTGCCATCCCTACTGCTACACACTGGTCCCAGCCTTGGGGGTCTCCTGTGCCCCACTGGCCCCTGTACACGGCCTGCTCTCTGCACCACAGCCAGTGTCCACTCTAAATGGAAATCAGCCCACGGCACCCTCCTGCTCTTCCTCTCCAGAAGCTTCCCTCATACTTAGTGTAAAACACCCACCACCGCCGCTAAGATGGAGGCCCACTCTTGGGCCTCACTCCACTCCGGCCATTCTGGCCCCCTTGCTATTCCTTAAGCCCGTTCCTGTCACAGGGCTTTGTACTCGCTGTTCCCTCTGCCTAAAGAACTTCCCCCGGGTATTCCCATGGCTCGCTCCCTCACTTCCAGTAGCTCTGCTCAGAGGCCACCTCCACAGAGAGACCTTCCCTGATTACCCTTCCAAACCACCCTCCATCGCTCAGTATCTTCCAATCCCGCTTTGAGTTGGCATCCTGTCTGACTAGGCTGTTTATCGGTTCTTCTGCTCTATTATCTGTCTCCCTCCTGGATTGTGAGTTCTATGAAAGTTGGCTCATCCTCGGTCCTGCTCTCCGCTCTAAGCTACCAAGGCCTGGAGCTGAGCCTGGCATATGGTAGGCTGTCACTAAGTATTTGTTTCAGTGAAATTGGTCTATCAAATGTTTTGATTGTCCGTATTTATTTCCTCTTTGTTTCTTTCTTGCTTTTAGTAGTGCTGTTGCTGGGAACTTCCATTCATGTTTTGTCTCGAGGAATGTGTTACTTGAGGGAAAGGCTGCATACTGTCCACATTCGGACCAGAACAGCAAGGAAGATGTGGCACTCCCTGAAGCCAGCATGGTGGCGGCGGCAGCGACGCACATGAAATCATCACAGGACAGGTAAATTGAAGGGCAGGAAGTTGGGTCGGAGCCCATGCCATCATTCTCTCCACTGCCCACTACCAACTACAGGCTGTCCTGGAGGAAAGCTAAGCTGGCTGTGGATTTCATCACTCTGAAGATTTCAAAACAGTAATCATCATTCTTTCCTTTTTTTCCCTTATCCTCTCTTATAATAATCAGGAGAAACTAAGAAACCAGCTGGAGTGAGCCTGAGATCAGACCTCAGTGCTGCCTCAGGAGGGTAACTACAATCTAAGGCAGAGGCTCGCCTCCTTGACCTAGAATTCAATTCACCTGGGGAGCTTTTAAAACGCCAGCTGCCCAGGCCACACCTTGTGCCAATTAAATAAAAATGTGTCAAGGTGGGGCCCGGGCATCTGTAATTCTTAAAATTCCACGGGTGATTCTAATATGCATCCTAGTTTAAGGGTGTGGAGCAAAATCTCTCACACTAATGTGCGCACAAATTACCTGGGGTGTGTGTAGAAAAAAACAGGTTGTGATTCCAGCGACGCAGGCTGGGATTTGCACATCTGACCAGCTGCCACGTGATGCTGAGGCTCCTAGTCCACGGGCCACAGTGTGAGCAGCAAGTGTGAGATCCAATACCGGCTCTTAGTCAGGCTCCCAATTTTCAGATCTAATGTTTGATAACCCCGACATTAGTAATCATGTGCCGTGCTCATTCCTGGGCATCCCAGCCACTCGGCAGCCGTTGTTCTATCTGCTCTTTCACCCTCTACCTACCCTCCAGGTTGCTAGAGAAACAGATCTCACCTCTTGAACCATCCTTTGATCAATGCTGTCCCCAATGTTCTTCAGCTGCATGGCCAACTTGTGGATTATTTCCTCCTGGTGACGGTTCTGGCCAATGCTATTATCCTTGGGCTGAGAAGGTGCACTGTGACCTGCATTCACAGAAAAGAGTTTAAAAGAGACCCTCCATTAACTCTGTGAAATTACTCACCACTGGTCACTGAAAACTGCCTTAGACAATGAGAAAATGAAAACCCATCATCATTAGGATTATCAAAAAACAAAGTTTTGCCCTGGAATAGTTCTGTCCAATAGAAATATAATCCACGTGACTCATTAATTTTAAATTTGCTAGTAGTAAAATCAGGTAAATTAATTTTAGTAATATGATTTTACTTAAGCCAATATAGCCAAAGTATAACATATATCAGTATAAAATCAAAAATGATATGTTTTGCATTCTTTTCATTATACCTAAGTCTTTGAAATCCAGTATTAATTTATACTTACAGCACATCTCAATTCAGATGCTAACTTTTCTTTGGAAAACTTTGATGTATATTTAGATTTCATGAGGTCATTTTAAAAAGTGGATTCATATATCCAACTTGTTCCAAACATACTCAAAAGTTTCCCAACAATTAAATCAAGTATCTGTCTTTAAACTTAATCAAAATAAAATAAAACTTAAAATTCAGCTCTTTTATTGCACTGGCCACATTTCAAGTGCTCAAAACCCAAATGTGATTAGTAATTATTACGTGGGACAGCGCTGGTGTAGATCTTTGCAGTTTGTGAAGCAGATTTTTCCATTTGTTCTTCCACGATCCTTGAATGAGTTCTTCCAAACCCTATTTGCTTCCAGCATCTAAATAGTGTTTTTAAGCAGCACTATGAGTAAACTGCCATGCTGGGTGCTGTGGGGGAACTTATAAAGAATAAAAAGACAAGGTTTCTGTCCTTAAGTTGATCCCAACACACTGGTTAGGGATAAAACAATTCCCAAGTGCTTTAGGAATACAGAGAAGAAGGAAATAAATTGGGGCTAACCTAGCTATAAGTATAGCTTTATAGATACAGCAAGTTTTGCATTGAACCTATTTTGTTCCAATAAAATTTGAGACTTTGATTTTTTAGGCTTTGCACCAAGAGAATGAACCCTGTCTTCAAAGAGGCTAGTAGGAGAGAGACACAAACTACAATTCAACATGTTATATAGTAAGAACAAGGTCTGCACAGAGGTCAGGGAAGATGTCCCAATGAAGATGATACCTGAGTTCAGTCCTAAAGGACAAAGGATAGATAAGAATTAGCCAGAGAAGAAGAGAGAGATGGGGGCTGGAGCTGGCTGGGAGGGCATGGCAAATAGAAGATCCCAGGCAGAAGGATCATGTGAGCAGAGACATGGGGTGACAGACAGGTTTTGTGCATAAACTCTAAGTATGCTATTGCTGAAAGGCAAGGAGTGATGGAAAACAAAGCTAATGGAGCAGGCAAGAGTAAAATCGTGAAGGCACAGTAAGAGGCTGGGACTTGATTCAGTAGAGCTGGGGATCCACTGAAGGGTTTTAAGCAGCAAATGACATGATCAGCTTTGCTTTCTATCTATTTCCCTCTGGGATCAGAATAGAAACTGGTAAGAGAGGCAGAGTATGTGAAAGTCCTGCGGAAGAATGAAAAGGAGTTGCCTAACAATAACTAGCATGCTTACCACATGCCAGACTATCATGCATTATTTTACTGACGACTCCCTCACAATGCCCCCCATGAAGACATTATTTCTCATATTACAGATGAGAGGGCTGTGGTTTAGAGAGCGCTTTTAAATCTTGGCTCTGCCTTGCCAATCCTATGGTGGGGGTGGGGATGGGGGGGTGCTTTAAAAACCCCCAATGCTCAAACCTCACTCTATTCCAACGAAATCAAGATCCTGGGAGTTGGACTAAGCATCAGTATTTTTTTTTAAGCTCGCAGGTGGTCCCCATGTGCAGCCAAGTTTGAAGACCAGTGGTTTAGAAAATGGCCGAGTAGCTTGCCTAGGAATTGAAAGCCAAGGAGGATGAGAGGCAGGATTTAAGTCCAGGTCTGCCTGGCTGCAAAGCCCATGCTCAGAACCTTAGCATACAGAGCCTGAACTGAAGCAGTGCTCACTGGGGTGGAAGGGTGAGAAAAAATTCTATAAATATTTATTAGGAAGCAGAATAGGCTGGAATTTGGTAATAGATTAGATGAGAACAGTGAGGGAAAGCGAACTCCTACTTTTCCAGCTCAGCAGACTGGAAGGGTGGTGGCGCCATCAGTCTATGGAGAGAATGGGGTTCAGGAGAGGACAGGTATGGAAGGCAGAGAGGTGGTAGAAAGAGAAAGAGGAAAACTTGAGTTCATTCATAAACTTAAGGTACCTGTAGGACATCTTAGCAGGTGTCTGGGTAATGTTTGAAGCTTGGGATATCACAACTTAATTAAGGTAAAGACTTAAAAATCACTGTTCATTCATTTATTCAGTAAAAGCACAGGGGAGTAGATGAGATCTTTCAGAGTTGGTATAGCTGATGACAGAACCTCTGGATAAGATTGATGGTTAACAAAGTAGGCAAAGGGACAAAGACCCACAAAAATGACTGAGAAAAAATAGTCAGAG